TGGCCTTTTCAGAAGCCATAGGGACATCCAGGAGAGAAGAGAAAGGCCAGGCACTGACCACAGGAAAACAGAGTTTTCTTCACAACAGACACTCCTAAAGTTGAGCACTGAAAACCTGAGAAGTTAAACATAGAGGAAATATGGAGGTCATGTTCAAGAGACTGGAATGGAAAAGCAAGACACACTGCCCAAAAACCAGAGGCCAGTGGGAAACAATATTCTCATGCCATTGGTCAAAGCCAGGCTGGACAGGAAGGCAGATAGAAGGCCCACCAGCAAGACCCATCATCTAAGAGACCAGCAAGGAGCCAAACGCCACCTCTCCTGGCCTCAGAGTGCTCACACTCATGAGACTACTCCCAAGTAGCTGGGGTGGGGATATACTTAGCTAGAGACTGCCAGGCTCATACAGGAGACTGAGCAAAAAAGGCTCCAGCCAGAGAGGTCCAGACTCTACTCTTCCTGATCAGCACAGGATGTCAGGGCAAGGGCTCAGAGCAAAGCTCTGGATCCCAGCTCAGCCTCAACAAACTCCACAACAAGCTCAGGAACTAGGCTGGCACCCCCTGGGGTTCTGAACTCTCACCTGCAGATAGATGGACCACAGTTGCCACTACAAGACAAACCCAGCACGTCAAAGCTGCACACAGCTGAGACCACACACCCGCCCACTGCATGCACTGAACACCTGCTGTCCACTGACTATTGCCACAGGCCCCGGGGGCACAGCTGTGGAACAACAGGACCAAACCCCTGAACGCTAGTTGATAGCCCGACAATGTAGAAAAAATAGAAAAGTAAAACACTGGGGGCAGATGGCTCTAAGTTCTACGGAGAGAAAACAGTGGAGCTGGGAGAAGGTCGGGGAGAGCAGCATGACTTTGCTGCTGTGAGGAGTGGGTCCGGGCGTCGGGGGGCTTCAGCAAAGAAGTAGCATTTGGGCCGCACATGGAGGTGGAAAGGAAAGAGTCATGTACAGATCTGGGAAGGAACGGTCCAGATAGGGAAATGATACGTGCCTAGTAGGCCTTGATGTAGGACAGGCCTGGCCTGTGGAAAGCAGGGCAAGGAGGGCTGGGAGAGAAGCAGACGGAAGAGCATGTAGGGAGTGAGGCTGGACTGGAACCACGGCTGGGCGAGCACACAGTAGGTTCTCAAGCAGCAATGGCCGGCCACTCCACACCTATTACGGTCTATCCTTTAGCCATCTCGAAGTCTGAGTTCTTCCAAGAGACCAGGCTTCAGGTGAGGAGCACAAAGAACCCTTCAGCTGCCCAAAGCCTGCATGAGGACATTAGGGGGCTCCCAAGACAGACCCACAAGGCTTCATCCACCAACCCAAGAAGCAGCTGATACCCAGCAAGAGCAAAGCTGCTCCTAGGGCAGCTGAGAAAAGTATTCCTATGCCTGCCAGCCAGGCTTGTGTCTGGGACTAGAGGCCGAAAGGCTAATGGGGGTGTAGGGCCAGCGTCTCCTAGGTCCCCAGAGCATCACACTGCCTCTGTGGTTGTCACCTCAGCAGCCAAGCAGGACAAGTTGAGCTCTAGGATATCACTGTGGATAAGAATGGACATAAAGGCCAGCCTAGGGTAGTAGGCCAGCATCTGAGGCTACTTCCATGGAAACCCACTTCTCTCTATCCAGTTTCCCATGAGGCCAAAGGAAGACTGTGCTGCAATGAGATTCCCAAGGCTTGGGCACAGGGTTCACCATTCTCCTTCATGTGGTCTCCTCTGAACACTCCCAGTTTTGCCGAGCCTACGCTACTCTTAGAGGCATGTTCAAAGGCTGCCCCTCCATCCTGGGATACCCTGGGCTTCAGTTCCACTTAATGGATACAAAACTGAGGTCAGGATGCTCCACCAACCTCCCTAGTACCACCCTATTTGCCCTCGAACCAAACATTTTCTACACAAACTTACTTACTAAACAGTCACTTACTGTCTGTCTATGCTAGACACTCCAGATCACACCCACTACAGCTCATGCTACATCACAGAAACACCACCACTGAGGCCTCAGGGGACATTTATGGAACACTAACTTCATGGCAGGCAGCTTCCTGGGAGCTAGGAAGTCAGGCCAGCCCTGGAGCTTAGTGGAAACTGCCGGGGGGTGGAGGCCAGCTCAGCACACAAATGCCCCCAGCAAATGTGTCTGTGAGTGGCAGGAGGTGCGGCCTGTCCCTGGGAGAGCCCTAGGCTCTGGCTCAGAAGCACACAGGCTACACTGAAGCCCCACAGCCTTCTGGCCTCCACTCCCATCCGTATAATGGAGCCAATACAGCCCTCTGCACTGGCAGGCCATTAGCAAATTAAATTAGCTGGTCCATCTCTGGGCCCTCAGCTCCTTCCTGGGGCCAGTTCCTCTGGAAAAGCCCCATCATCACCACCGCGCCTCTGAAGTATCTGCGGCCTTGTCTGAAGTTCCAGACAGCCCCCTTCATTCTTGCTTTAGCCACTGACCCTCCTGCTGCCTGCCCCCCTCACCCACTGTTCACCAGCAACCCTTTTAAGGGGTGGGCTCTGCCTGCCCCTCCTGCTGTCTGTGAGCTGCCCCTTGTCTGTCTCTCTTCAGTGTCAGTCCCTGGCAGGGCTCCAATGACAGGCCAGAGGGGAGGGGCATGTGTCCATGTTTCACTCACAGCAAAGCCCTGGCCAAGGCCCAGCCACAGGGACCAGCTGCATCTGTTGCAGGAAGGGTCTTGCCCAGAGCAGGAGTTGAGAGCAGAGAATTGAGAATAACTATCGCACAAGCTTTGCGGCATCGTAGCAGACCTACTTGGGGGCTGGCAAGGACCACAGAGATTGCTGGGAGTGATGACGCAGTTGCTTCCACCCTAGCTATGTGCCAAGGCCTTTGGGTGCCACGGCTGGTTGTGCCAACTATGGCCCCAAGCACTGGAAGCCCGGCTGAGCCAGAGGAAACTGTCTGCAGGCTGCACTGGCCTGTGTTGCAGAGCCTAGAGGTGCCACTGTGACCAGTGTTGTTACTGTTATTGCTGCCATCGCTAGTTCACCGCTAAAGGACCACTTAGTGCTACCTGGTCCTTCCTGGGGCAGAGCAGAGACAGGGTAGTGCTGGTAGCAAGGCCTTTTGATTTGAGGCCCAACATGTTGCATGGCTCGGAAGCACCTGCTGTAGATACCTCTCCCGGTACAGCGGTCTCCTGAACCTCGCCTTCCACTAGGCACACACCTACAGGGAACCCTGCCGAAGGAGCCTGGTGGCAGAGGACTCAGCCGCCACCCCATGGTGCCCACCCAACCCAGGAGAGAGGAGAATTCTTAAGTGATCAAGGGTTTGAAGTTCACACATGCTGGGCCTGTACCAGCGCTGCATTAACAATAGGCTTTCTGCATGCATATAGCCGTGTCTCCCTGGAGAAGATGGTCCCACCTACTTTCTCCCCAAGGATGTCTGACCCTCTCCCCGTTCCCACTATGCTGAGGCTGGTCCAGTGGGCCATATGCCCCAGCTATGCATTTATTCTCACAAGTGGCTCCGCCTATCCGGGGTCACCTGCTATGACAGTGAACTTTGTGTCTCCTGGCTAGTTGAAGGGACCTCTTGAACACAGTGGATGATTTTGCTGAGAAGCCTCTTTGGCGGTCCCCCTACAAGCCCTGAGGGGGGGGACAATTCTGGGAATACAGAGGAAGAGGTCTTCAAGGAGGAACCTGGTACTCAGATCTCCCCTCCCTCACCCTCTCCTTTCACGCTGGCAGATTTTGGTGAGGGGTCCCAAATCAGCCACCTGGTGCAGGGCCAAGCTAGTATCTAGTCGGGAGGGACAGCAGCCAGGGCGGGCTTTTGCTCATCTCTCAGAAAGTGTGTTAAGGCCGGGAGGCTAAGCCTTCTGGGTTCCCACCTTGGAGGAGGCGGCAGCTGATTTCAGTGGCATGTGGGCGCCTAGGCAATCCGGAGAGCCGAAGCTGCCTCACCAGGGCTCGGGAGGCAGATGCCAGGGCCAGAAAGTCCCCAGATCATTACTGCCGGGTTCGGGCTTGGGTACAGGTAGTGAGGAAGCAACTAGAAAAGGGCCAAAGACTGTACCACACTCTGGGGACTGGCAGAAGGGCAGCCCCAAATCCCACCAGGTCCACGCGGTAGGGAGGCAGAACCTCCCAGAATTTGAGGCCTTTACCAAAGAGACACTTGCCTTTGAACTCCATTCCCAGCATTCTAAGGTATTCAGACAGACGTGTGCACAAACTAAGGCAGGGGCTGTCTCAAGGGCCTCAGCTCTCCGGCCCTCCTACAAAGCTGTCTAGGGCTCTCCACTTCCGCTGCCTCTTTCAAAGGGTCTAGTCCCCCACTGGACACCAGAATAGACTTGTGCGTCCAGGAGAAATTCCTCTGGCCTGAGCCCCCTGTTGGTTTCTCAAGACCGACTTTAAGAAGCAAAAGGTGCCCCTGGACTTGCAGACTGACTGGATGGTGAAGAACCACGTCCAGAATATTTTTACTCCATGACAGCACAGGCGGCAGGAAAGAAATGACTCCAAAGATCCAGGTCTTAGCAAGGGGCATTCTCAGGTCGCTGGTCATGCCTGTGCACCCACTCCGTACCCCTTCTTGATCACAGGTCTCTCCGGTAAGGTCACACCTAGGACCGATGCTGCGCGCAAAAGTGGCTCCGCCCGCTGCCTAGCAAGCCCCCTCAATCAAGCCGGCCGAGGAGGGGGATCGAGAGCTCCTCAAAGTTTCCCAGAGTGTCCCCCCTGCCCCGCAACACACATACCCCGGGACAGAGGTTAGCCCGGAGCAAAGTTCCCTGGTGGCTGTAGCCCGAAACATGGCAGTGGAAGAAAAGCTCGCTGTCAGCATTTCATCTGGTGGTTCACCACCGGAGAAGAGAAAAAGAAAAGGAACAGAAGGAGCCCTTCTGCCTCACCTTTCCTGTTGCTGCACCACCCCGCGCTCACCCGGGGCGGGAAGCTGCCTGCTGAGAGCTGGGGCCGAGCGGGTGGGCCGTGCGCCCGCGGCCGCCTTCTTACCTCGGTCAGTGGCCGGGGCGCGGCGCGTCCCGCGTCCTCCAAGATCCGCGCGGCCGTTCCCGGTCCCGGCCGCCGCTGCGCTGGCTGCATTGCCACCGTTGCCGCCGCCGCCGCCTCAGCGCAGCCCCTGGGAGCGCTCCACGCCGAGGGGCGCGTCGCTCCCGGGCGCCGGGCGCCACCAGCCAGCCATGGGTTGGGGGCGCACGCCCAGACGGCGCCCCCAGCCACTCGGCGCTCGCTCCGGGCTCGCCGCTGGCTTCTGTCACTCAGTCCCGCGGCAAGCACCGCCGACCCACCCCCTCCCCCGCCGCAGTTATCTGATCCCGGGCAGGGCCGGGCGCGCTCCCCTGCACCGGGTGTGGGTGTCCTGCACCTCCCAACGGGCTTCGACCGCACAGGGCCCCCTCCCCCGGCGACCGTTCCCAGGGAGGCGGTGGCAGCGCAGTCGTGGCGTGGCCGGGGGAAGACGGGGAACGAGGAATGGAGGGCGAGGAGGCGGCGGGAGGCAGAAGCTCTGCGCGCACCCAGCTCCGCGCCCCGCTGCCACAGTAGCCCAGCTCGGCAACTTCTCCAACTCTCCGCCAAAAGCACGCCCGCCCTGCGCGGCGGCGCCGCTGATCCCGCCCACCACCGCCCTGGTCTGGCCCAGTGGCCCCTCCTGGCCCCAGCTGCCCCCCACACGCACCAGCCACTTGCGCACTGGAGCGCGCGCGCGCGAACACATACACGCGCACGCGCGGGGCACACACACACACACACACACATCTTTTCGGGGACACGCGCACACACAGGTGCATGGCAAGCATATACTCAGACTACACACACACACACACACACACACACACACACACACACAGGCAAGGGAATCTGGACCGGCTGCACGCAGCAGGATACCAAGCTCAGGCGTCACCTGCACAAAATGCATGTGATGAAGAGCACAGTGGCTAAGGTGCACAGGTGCACGCATAGTTACATATGCACGTGTGGAGTGGGATCAGTCAACATATCCACACAGGAAGGCTTCTAAGCTCATGCATTCCCCTTGCACACCAAGCACGGGGTCATATGCATACTCTGCCTTCTTTAATATCATATCTCTTCTTTCCATCTTGTATTTAGCTTTCGTCTCTTGTTTTCCCCTGCGTGCTCCTCCCCCTGGCCTCTCCACTGATTTTATTCCATGTGTCTCCCCTCCCCTTGACCAATCTTGACTGGAAAGCACCCCTGGTACTCTGCTCTCCCAGGCTCCTGGAGCCTATTGTCTGGGCCTCACATCTCTGCCTCCTGCAGGGCCTGGACCTTTCAGCCTGGCAGACAGATCAGCCTTAGCTGGCCTCAGGGAAATCCCATTTTAACACAGGGCTGACCCCCAGCTCAACCCTAAGGCTGAAGAATCTGGCCAAGAAGGCAGGTCTACAACCAGAACACAAGCTTCACAAAACTCCCCAGCCCCTTGGTCTCCAGCTCCCACATAATGTGAAATAGAATTATGCATTTGAATAGCAGAGACATTAGATGCAGGATCTTAGCCAAGAAGCATGGCTTTCTGGCCACCCAGATGCCCAGGCTCTGCTGGCTTATCCAGAGCTCTGCAGAACCCACCAGCCCAACTCCAGGGAGCCAATGTCTCATCCAGGTCCCAGAGTCCCCAGAGAACTCTCCCACCTCAGGCTGTGCATATCCGACCTCCTTGACGGAGCAATCCTCCACACAAGGTACTTCAACACTCAGTGTCAGGATTCCCTGCGCTCACGTGGATGTTATGGGCTTACTGGGTTACAGGACTGCAGTGAAGATTAAATGAGATCGGTGTGTATACAATTCTTAACCTGGGAGAGGGGCTGAGTGAAACAGCTTGTGGGTCTTGGGTACTCAATCTATGCTGGCCTCTACGCTAAGGCTGGAGTTATTTTGCTGTGCCCCTGAAAGGTACAACCATTGACCCACTTTGCAGATAAAGAAACTGAGGCACAGAGGGATAGTTGCTTTTCTAGTCAGAGAGACAGACTGGTGGAGGGAGTCTCAAACCAAATGTATCCTTAAGACGACCATGCCTCCCTGTCTCACCAACAACTGTCCAGACTACAACAGAGAGAATATGGCTATTCCCAGGGACTCCATTCCCAGGCTCCCAGACCTAACTTGGACAGGCATATGATGTCCTGATTTCCACCTTCTCCTGAGTGACCAAGGAGGAAAATGGCTCAGGTCCCCCTGCTCCATTTTACCCAGCCCTGGTGCCCAGAAAACAGAAGCCAAAGGCAGAAGTAAGGAGAAGACTTCCCTTGCCTACAATCTTCTCTGCCCTCTCAGGGAGAGCAGACACATGTCACACCCAGGGGACTCCACCACAGACATGCCAAAGAGCTCACAGCATGCTGGTGGACAGAAAAATGGACAGAGCTCTATGATGCTCCCTTGGTCTAGCATCTTTGTTTTTTTGAGATAGTGTTTCTCTGTGTAACAGCCCTAACTGTCCTGGAACTCTCTTACAGAGCAGGCTGGCCCTGAACTCAGAGATCTGCCTGCCTCTGCCTCCTGAGTGCTAGGATTAAAGGCGTGCGCCACCACGCCTGACTTCAGGTCTAGGACCTTGAGCAGCTCCTGTAATGAGTTCGAGGGCCTTACGCTGGAGCATAGATGCTGCTATATAAACAAGGGAAGCCTGTGTAAAGTCAGTGCTGGGGGTCTGCATAGATGCTGCTATATAAACAAGGGAAGCCTGTGTAAAGTCAGTGCTGGGGGTCTTCCCCCAGGACCTATTAACAGATACATTTCATGTATAGGGCAAGAGTCTTGCCCATGGTCATCCAAAAAAAAAAAAAAAAAAAAACAACCACCTGCCAGAGAAGTGGCCCTGATTTCCATAGCTACTGCCTTGTAGATGTCACATTCCGCCCTCTAGCTTATGAACAGGGACCAACTTCATTTCTTCATCAAAATCACATCTCCTTCTAGAATGTTACAAGTCTTCTACCAGGCTCATGTTCACAGCCTCCCCATGGGGAGCACGCCCGTGCTCAAAGAGAGAGGGCTGCCACACAGGAAGGCTCTCTCTAACCAGGGTTCTAAGTGTGGAGATGCCATCCCTAGTCACACACACACACACACACACACACACACACACACACACGTCATCCTGCCTTCCTCCAGAGTAGAGGGGAGGAGTGTTCAAGAATGTACCCAGTCCCAGTTAGACTGCTCCCAGCTCAGGGACCATGGGCACATGTCCCCCTTCCTTCTCTGTAAAGCACAGATGTCCATAAGCACAGAAGACAATTTCTGCCTTACGTGGCATGCAGCCTGCAGGTATTCCCAGGGCCTTGTCTGGTTGTCCTTAATCTAAGAGAATCCTCCTGTGCACGCATACATCTGGGCCCTGTCTGTTCTCTCAGTCCCAAGCCCTATACCCTTAGAGCCTCAGGCTGAGACAGTCAAAGGAAGTCATCAGGTCATTTGGAGACTCCTTCCTTGTCATGAGGACAGCAAAAACATCATAGACATCCAGAGAAAAGCCCCAAAGGCTTGGCTATGCTGTCCCCATAGGAGGTAACAACAGTCTGGAACGTTGGCTTCTCTGCCAAGTAATTCTAACAACCAACTCCTATGGAAACCAAACGGTCCATCCTCACGGTCTATGCTCACGGCCCATCCTCATGGTCCATCCTCATGGTCCATGCTCATGGTCCATCCTCATGGTCCATCCTCATGGTCCACCCTCAGTGTCTTTGCTGGCCAGGCAGCACCTGGAGCTCCCGGGGAACACCTTCTCCTAGAGGCCCACTTAGGATTTCTTCTACCCATCCTAGATGTTGCCAAACCTCTGCCCTTCAGCCCTCCACCTGCTCCATTCTCCCTTCCGGCACACTGGCCAGCCACCCGCCTGATCCTGTCCTGGCCACCTGCTCACATTTCAGGCAGAAATGCTGTTTTTTCCATTGTTTTTCTTTCAGGGCACCTCAGGACTCCCCTGGGAAAAGCCACCACTAGGACATCCATTCTTCCCCTGACTTGTTTTGCCTTCTCCCCAGATGTCTGGCTTCCTGTGCCGACTAGGGCAGGCACCTGGCATGGGCATGTGGCTATGTCTTCAGAACAAGAATGATGAACACGGTGGAGAATCCCACTCTTGGACAGGTCTGCTCTGCCCAGTGCTCATAAACACATCTAAATCACCTGCATAGACACTGTACGTGTGTGTGTGTGTGCGTGTGTGTGTGTGACTGTCTGAGGAACACACCTGGCCTCCTACTCCAATATTAATCCTGCCTCTGATTGATAACCTTCTAAGAAGTCAGAAAGAACTGTGCTTGTGGGCCTCAGGATAAGCTCTTGTGGTAGGAGCCATGGGCAGGAAGTCAAGAGGCACGGGGGGGGGGGGGCGCATTCTGCCTGAGCCCCGTCCACAGTCTAGGCAATCAGTCAAGTGGGAAGAGGCCTGTCGTTCCAGCTATGAGCCACAGAGTAGAGCCCAGGCCCAAGAGCTGTGCCCTTAAACTGGCCTCTCTCTTCAGCACCATTTGTCCCAAGATGCACATTGCTGACAACTATAATAGTGATGTGTATATTGGCCAGTGCCAGCTGCTTGTCTGCCAGGCATCACACGGTAGAGGTAAACACCCACCAACCTTCACTGGAGGTGATGGGCAGGTAGGTACCATCCCAATTAGACGGGTAAAGCTCAGCAGGGACAGAGGTCTTGTCTCCAGGAGAGCTACAGGGGACGGCTGGAACCTTACATGCCATCTCACACACACACACACACACACACACACACACACACACACACACGCCCTTCCCCTGCCTGGGTACCGGTGGACTTCTGGCTGAGCCAAAAGCATTGATTTAAGGCACCGGACTTCAGAACCATTACTATACTGAGACTAGGACACTGAGTTCACGGCCCCTCCCACCTGTCCGGAAGCTAACATTGATCAGCTGGCAGAGCTGGCAGAGCTGGCAGCTGACTGCTTCCCTGGGCAGGGCTAAGCCCTACTCCTGCCCCTCTCCAGGATGCAGCAGCCAGGGGCCAGGCTGATAGCCAGGACTGTCTACCGTGTTTGAGCCAAACTCATAGGCATCAAAAGGCAGGGGCTTCAAGCCTCTTCTTGTCCAGGCTGTGACACTTTTAAGACGTGCCACCAGTCTACCTACTTCCATTAGAGTCACCCCTCTTTCTGAGAGCCTTCATGCTCTGTCTAGTCCCACCTCACACCCCACTTCCTGCTTTCCT